TTATCTCCTCCCCAGCTCTCTGCCAAATAAGCAAGTTTCCACACCAGGAGAACATGAGTGTTTCCCAGCTACAACCACATCCCCTCTCCCCTAAGTTAATATGTAGTGATTTAGTCTACTTCTTTTTAGCTGACAAAGATTTATAGCTACAAGGCTAATTACAAACCACAGTTTGCTGATTTGGCCAAAGAAATAGAACAGATAGCAAAGATGGCACATCACTGCATTTGCCCTTTATCCCTGTCCCCAAACAGTCCGTAGTGTCACACGGGGACACGTAGACAGCACATTAGACACATGTAAACACATCTGGACCTGATGAGTTTGTTTTGTTCAAGGAACAGCAGAAAGGCCAGAGGAGGACTTGGAAAGTGTTGACCATAGACGAGATGAAGTTGGGGGACTTCATCTCTGACTTCTTTTCACCTATGAAGCAGTGGCCAGCTCACAGAGAGGAAGTAGGGAGTCCAATTTGAATGCTATTTTTATAATCTAAAGAAGAAATTAGACTGAGCAGTGGAGAAGAAGTGAAGTGGATGGAGATATAATTTGAGAGGCACAACCAGCAAGACTTGCTGTTGGTTGAGGTATGGCAAGAGAGCAAACAGGAGACGGGGAAGATGTCCTGTAGTATTTCTCATAAAAAGGGGGGAAATAAGGTATTAGGAGTAAAAATGGGATGAGCGTTTTCAGGGGAAGGGTCAAATATTAAATAAATCAATCAATGAAGACACATCAGTCTCTGCCCTCAAGGAGCATATAACTCAGTAGGAGAACATAGAAGTAAGGAAGAAATTTTAATAAAAGAGGATAAATGCTATGATTAGGAGTATGTAGAGTGCTGTACAAGTACATAGAAAAGGCATATAAACCATTGTTTGGAGGTCAGGGTGGACTGCCTGGAGGAAGTGACTGTCACTTGAATGAAGAATCGGTGGTGAGAAAGAGCTGGTGCTTTCAGGAAGCTTCAGGCTGGCTGAGACAGAAAATAAGATGGAATAAATAGTGAGAGAAGGGCTGGAGGAGTGAAGGCAGACAGATGATGAAAAAATGTTTAAACCATAATCAGAGTTTGGTGCTTATCCTGAGGGGAACAGGATTTCAGGGCAAGTGACATATAAGCAGGGAACCCAGACATACATATTTCTTTTCTACTCTCGTTTCAATGGCAGGAACTAGTCAAAGGCCTCAGGCAGCTGCACGGACAGGGGAATGTGGCCCCCTGTATGTCCAGGAAGGAAGAGGAGGAATAAGTGAGCGCTAGCAATGTCTACCACGGGGGAGACCAATTACTATATAGATTACATATTAAATACCAACTATCCATGTCATTCTTCTTCAGTGGAAAAAAACACAGGGGCAGAGTAAAAAAAAAAGTTATGTATTAAAATAAAGTTGCAGTCAATGGGTATATTTGTCTATGACTATAACATACAAGTAAGGATATACATACTGTCATCAAAGCTGCAAGTTTGGGATGATTGATTTTTAATATGATCTCTGCCCCAAATGCCTGCACTGCTGAATCCGGATCAGGCAGAGCCCAGTGTGGCTGCCAATTGGAAGCGACTTCCTACATATGTTAGCAAACTAAGGACAGAGAAAACAGTGGTTTCAAATCTGATCTCCGGAAAGGCACAAATGTAAATGCCTCAAATTTCTGTGACATGCTTAGGCTGCTTCTCTCTGTGACAGTGTGTGTGTGTGTGTGTGTGTGTGTGTGTGTGTGTGTGTGTGGCCAGGAGAAAACAGAGAAGCAATTGAGTTTTAACAATGGTTGTGATACTGCTGAATAACTGCAAAAACCAAGCTAGTTTTTGATGCTAGAAAAGTCCAAGCTATAGCTGATATGAATCTCTGCTTAAGCTGTTCAACATTGCTTAAACTATGCTACCTTTGCCTGCTATTTAAGTGAGGGAACATGGCATACACTTTGGTTTGGACAAAACCCAAATTAACCCCACATTCTACCACCTACTAGCTGTGTGGTCTTGGGCAATAAGCTCAAACTTTGTGAACCTCAGCTTCCTCATCTAGAATATGGTCATCATAATATTTTACTATGTTGCTATGAGGATTAATTTTTTAAGACTTGTAAATCACATCATAATATGCTTGGCATGTGGTGAGGGCTCAGTTTAATGGGAGCTCCTACAACATCATTTTTTAGTTCTCTGTGCTCAGTTGTAGTTTTTGGATAAAATCCACTTTTTAGTCACTTAAATATTTTAAAAGCATGATTTTTATTTTAAGTGTACAAAATAATAATTATGCACTGAGGAATGTTTATAAAGTTCATTTTAATAAGCCAATTTTATTATTTAAAAAAACATGAATACTATTAAGGTCAGATCTTTTTTGTTTTTCATAAACTGCTGAGAAGTAAAATCAAACGTCTGCCACACGCTTTACCATCTGCTAGCAACTACAGATGTCCTGGCATATGGTATAATAACGCCCACAGCCATGCCCACAGGCTGAAGGGCTTAAAAATCTAATGTGTGGAATCAGAGATCACGGTATTTGGTAGGTCAAAAAGGTCCCCAAACACACAGTTCTCTGGCTGGGCTCAGTCCACTGATGGACCTCTCAGGTACCCCTAAATTTCAGCACTGTGAGTTCTACAGGCATTAAATGCAGAGAATATGTTCTGTAGATTTCCCAGGAGATCTGATCTGTTCCAGGCTTCATGTGGTAGAACAGGTTATAAAGAGAGAGGTATAGAATTAAGCAGTGCTCAGACAATTGTGCTTACATAGTAGTTATGTAAAACAAATGAGGGTAAATGTAATAGACATGTAATGTTGAAAAGTATTACATCAGCATCAGTGCAATTCACCAGGTTGCCAATATTAGGAAAGAAAGAGCAGAAAAGAACAACAAAGGGAGCGCATGTTCTGAAATCAGGCTTCCGAGAACAAGATCAAAGTAGATGAAGTAGCAATCTCAAACAGTGAGGTTTAGCTAATGAATAGCTTGCTGATTAATGCACACCTAAGGTCCTGTTTTTCATTCTATTCCTATTACTTCGGCATATGGGCAGGGAGAAGGGCAAAAAAGACCAACTTCTAAAAACAAGCTGAAGGGTAAGAATTCACCTTTGTTCTCATATTTCCTTTTACTATGATTTGTAAAATTTCATATTTAGCCTCTCTTGCGAGGCAAGCATAGAAACATGTATAAAAGAGGTAGTCGGAAAGGAAGTGTATAGGAGAAACAAACACACGCCACTTTATCAAGACCTGAGCTGTATCCCACCTTGATCCCTGATGGAATGTGTGACTTCACTAAATTACAATATAGAAAATGTGGCTTCATTTCCCAATGTGTACAGCGGGCAGGTTGACCAGTGGACCTCTTGGTAAGTGACCATATATCCCAGAATAGTCCCAGCCTATACCTGTTGCCCCGAAGTTATTATAGCATCTTCTTTGAGTTCCAACATTCTAGTAATTCTTCTACTCATGTACTGCAATGCTCTCACCAGAAAAATAACAGCTGGTGCAGAGTCACCGGTCTTATTAAGCAAGTGAGAGTAACTGTTCCTTTCACTTAAGTCCTGTGGTTGCTAAAGCTCCACTCCTTTCAGCAGGAGTTTTGCTGGAAGCCAAAATATCATCTGTCTCGTAGGATCAGACTGTGGAAAACCTACTACACTGGAACTTCTTGATGAGGTAAACAAATGCTACTTATTTATTTTCCTGCCAGTAAAATATATCATTTTATACCCAGTGGCCTTTCACAGATTAATAAATTATAATGAATGATGGAATTCCCATTTCTTAGGCTGTGCCATGCTTCCTATTTACAACTGGTTCAAACGCTTTATAAAGTTCAGGAATTTTAGATGCTAAAAGTCATCAAAAATATATATATTCACTGTACCACTTGTTGTGGAAGTAAGATTTTTAAGGATATGCCAAGCTCAAGAAATACTTTGCTCATAATATGTTTGAAGAATTTTTAAATCTTCTTTCCCAAGTTAAGGAATATCATAATTAGTTATATATGTTTTAATATGCCAATAAAATTCTGTAATTTAAATTTTCTGGTGTGAAGTTATTTTTTTTAAAAAAGCTAAATCTCAAATTTGCAAATTAAATAAAAAATACTTTATTTTAGCATAGGCTAAGCCAAACAAATTTCTTTTTTGGCCCTCTGATCCATAGTTGATGTTCTTTCTTAGAAATTCTGACTTCTCTTCCTGCGCTTCCTTGGCAGCCGTGATTGTTTTCCGGGATGCTCCTTCCTCTGTCTGGGCCTCCTCTGCTTTGCCTCTATCTGTCCTGTGTTCTTTTGCTGGAGCTGCTGGTAATTTATAAATGTGATGGCTGCTTTCAGCAAAGCTGAGCTTTAAATGTTAACGTAATGTGTTTGGGGACATCTACAGGCTGTCTTCTGAGGGAATTAAGATGGATTCTTGGATTAATCAAGGTCATCTGACTGTCATTCCTTGCATGCTCATCTTTCCTCTACCAATTAATCTTCACACCTGTCACCATTCCAAAAGAAGACTCAGGCACAAATCTTAAATTCATTCATCATCCACGTTAATCTACAGACTCCAGTCTGTAACAATTTATTATTATTAAAATAATTTTCCTGGAATGATTATAAACTCTCTTCCACTGCATACGTGTTTCAAGAACATTTTAAGTGATTGATTGTGTACGTCAAGCTATGGAATATTAAGAGAGTTTGACAAGTTATATTTCATACTCAAAGATGAAAATACTTGGGAAAGTATAATAATTAACACAAAAGAACAAAAAACTGAAACATATGCTTTCAGATAGGACTGAAAAATATATAGAAAAATGAAAATTTAAATAGTTGAAGTTTATAATAATTGTACGTAACATTTACCAGACACTTCTTATGTACCAGGGCCAGATATAAGCCTCTTCAGGTGTATACATTTATATAATCGCCATAACAACTATACAGGTTAACTATTTCACAGATGATAAAACTAAATCTAACAGAAAGGAATGAATTACCAAGGTTCTCACAGCAAGCAAGTGGCGGAGACGGGGTTCAAACCCAGGACCAACTCCGTAGACCTTGTTCTTGAAAATTTATGCTCTTCTGCATACATCAGTGATTTTCAAACCTATCAAATCAAATACGCACCTTTTAAAATAGATACTGTGTACCTTCTTCTCTACTATTCTGAAATAAAATTTATAGAAAATATAATCTGCCTATAAATATAACTTTCAAAAAACATAGAATACCCTGGTTGCTATATATAAGGTGAAATAAAAAGAAAGTCATAGTAAAATAATAAATAATTCAATATGCAAATACACTAGAAGTAATAATGATCTAAACAGCCAAAAATGCAGGCTGATCCAGGTGCTTTGCATATTTTTACTCAAATACCACAAGCAGCATTTTCATTTGCAATGAGATTTACCAGGATGCCTCACAATTCTTGGTAAAGTTCCAAATAAAATGAAGTAAAATCTTTCTCTATGTCATAATAGTTGCACTCTAGCAAATTTAGTTGATATTAAAAATGGCATAAAAAGACATGTTCATACATAAAAAGATAATTTGGTTCTTTCTTCACATAATTATAAATAAGTTCTTTTGCATATATGAATAGCTGGTGGGACTTCAAAAGTCAGCAGTAAATGGGACGATTATTTATTATGCAGGACTCTCCTGAACATTGTTAGACATCCAGACGCCTCAGTTTCCTGCTCACTAAGTGTCAGTAGTGCCTTTTGGTCACTGGGACAAAAACTAAACACCCTCCCAACAGATTTCTAAAATATCATTTACCAGGGGGACTGGTCCAATGAGAGTAGATGATACTCTTAGAGCAGAGAAGGGGCCACCCCCATGAGATAAAAATAAAGCACAAGAACAAATAAAGATCAAAAAGTTTTCCTTAGCATGCACAACCTAAGGAGAACTGATCTTGACCTTTAATTGGACACTGAAAATTGATCTTCCAGGGTCTTCTAGCATTTTGTTTTGACTTTTTCCTCCCATCACCCAAGCAAAAAACATCCCAACTGGCACAACTGAGTACCTGCCTCTGGTCTGGCTTCTTTTCCAAAAAGATGGTCTTGGAATGGCCCGGTCCACTCTATGAAGGCAAGTTTATTTGCTGTCTTTATTCTCTTGCTGCCAGACATCATCACCTTCTCTGACTTCTTTCCCCATCATTCTTCACAGCAGGTGCTTCTTGGAAGCAGAAAGGGACAGAAATGAGGCCTATGAACAAATCTTTTTGTGTAAAGAGATTACTTGCTATGAAAAGAACTATGACTCTTCTAGAAAGTATTTCATTCATTAACTCAATATTACTAGGCACCTTTGATGTGCCACATACTGGGTTTTGTACATACAAAACTGCGCCTAAAACAGGGGTCCCCAACCTATGGTGAGTTGTATAATTATTATATATTACAATGTAATAACAGAAATAAAGTGAACAAAAATGTAATGTGCTTGAATCATGCAGAAACCATCCTCTACCCTTACCCCGATCTGTGAAAAAATTGTCTTCCATGAAAACAAGTCCCTGGTGCTAAAAGGGTTGGGGACCACTGATCTAAAAGGAATCACAAGCTAGTGGGGAAGACAAAGAAAAAAAAACAACATGATTTCAAAGTATTGTAATAAATGTAATATTAAGGGTAAGTTCAGAATGATATTGATAATGTAGAAGTTCATGGAAATGACACCTGATTCAGTCTTAAGAAGAAAGAAATCTAAAGGACTGACAGGTAAGGTAGGGAGTAGAGAAAAGGGCATTTCAGACAAGGGGGATAGAATTTATAAAGACTCGAAGTCAAGAGAACCTGATTTAGTCAGGGTACAGCAACTAACTCAGGTCAACTAGAGGCAGGACTGAAGCGATGAACAGAGTCTGGACAGATCACGCTGGGTCATACTTGCCACGCTAAGGAGATTGGACTTTGTCCTCAGTGCCAGGGGCCCTCACTGCAAGGTTTTCATTATGAGATTTGTGTTTTAGAAGGACCATTCTGGCCCCTCATGGAGAATAGAGAAGAGCACTGAGTTTAGTGGAGGCAGGGACGCGTAACAGGAGTCTTGCCTTGTTACAGGCAAGAGATGAGGGTGGCTGGAACTGAGGGAGTGCCAGGGGGATGGGGAGAAGAGGCCAGTTCTGAGAGTTATGATGGACAAAGGAGTGGACAGGACTAGGCAATAGTCTGAAAGGAAGGGGCGAGCATGGGACACACACATGTCTCATGAATAAAGAGAAAAATAGAGTCACAATTTTTTCTCAGGAGTGGATGTAAGTGTTGTGCCTTTAGAGTCCAACACTAATGTTGCAAAGAAATGTGAAACCACTTTCATTTCAATTAATTTGTAGCTACCCTGATCTGTTTCTGTTTTGTTTATCTGCCTGGACATTTAAATAGAGCACTATCTCTGAAATTTGACAATTCATCGGAGTATGTCTAGGGTTTTGTTTGTTTGTTTGTTTTCACCATTTTACTTGCTATTTCGTGGTAAGCCTGTTTTACACATAACTGGTTTGGGGTCAGTAAAGCTTTGTGTTCTCACTTATTTTAGTTTTATTCATACTTTATTTTTTTCTGATCAGGAACATTTTCTTTTTCATTTTGATAGAGTTTTTTGAGTATCTATTATGTCCTTTACTGCTTCTATTGAAACTATGAATCATGCTACATCATTTTTAGATTTTGTAAAAGGTTTTTCTTATTTTCACCTGCATAAAAGGCACTTAGTTTTTTGGTATTTCCTGTCATATATCTGTATTATATAATATATGTATGTATATTGTATAATATATATATACTAGCCATCTTTTTTATAGAATTTTTTTCTGGTATTTTATTGAAATTCCAAAGCAAATAGTTTATAAACTTTGCTTTTGTTTTGTGTTTTAAGTACTTTTAAAAATCTGGTTTTCTGCTACAATTTGAGAAAAATGTTCTCATTCTTTAAATTGGACAATTCTTTTCATAGGTCTAATATTTATTTTATCTGATTTCTTATCGTTAAATGAGGAACGCTCTATCTGGGTGTTTTCCACAAAAACAGTATGAAAATATTCCCCTTGAGATCCTGCACTTGGTGTTCTATATGATGTCTATAGACTCTAAACAATTGCAAAGATGTGGAAACAACCCAAGTGTCATCAATACATGAGTGGATTAATAAAATGTGGTATATGTATACCATGGAGTACTATTCAGCTTTAAGAAACAATGGTGATATAGCACCTCTTGTATTTTCCTGGATAGAGCTGGAACCCATTCTACTAAGTGAAGTATCACAAGAATGGAAAAACAAGCACCACATGTACTCACCAGCAAATGGGTATTAACTGATCAACACTTATGTGCACATACAGTTGTAACATTTGTCAGGTGTCAGGCAGGTTGGAAGGGAGAGGAGGGTACATTCACACCAAATGGGTTTGATGTACACTGTCTGGGGAATGGGCATGCTTGAAGCTCTGACTTGGGTGGGGCAAAGGCAATATATGTAACCTAAACATTTGTACCCCCATAATATGCTGAAATTAAAAAAAAGAAAAGAAAAAGACATATTCCTGACATCTAATATTCATTCTGTTAGTGTTAATGTGCTAACTGTGATTGCTGGAGCATATTAGATAATTCTAAAGCCAAGGAGCCTATTAAATGCTCCTCTCACCCTAACCCCAGGTCTTCACCAATAGCAGATGTCTTGATACACCACAGGAATCCATGGTTCTGAGCATAGATTCTAGAGCCCAACTGCCTAGGTCCAAATCCTGGCTCTACCACTTAGGAGTTTTGTAACCTAGATACCTGATTTGGATAAGGTCCTCTGGGGCTATGATGTAAGAAATATTTTATATACTTTAATTTCTTCATCTCTAAAATAGGAATAATGATAGTTTTCCCTCACAGGGCTGTGAAGATAAAATAAATTACTCTACATAAAGCACTTGAAACAATGCCTGGTACATAGTTATGTTATATAGCATGTTTGCTGCTTTTAGGAAACTTGATCTTTCAAAGAGTTTGTGTAGAGATTTGCAGGCTCAGCATTTGTACAGATCTATGTACTATCAAATAGGAACTGAGACAACTACAGCAATAGAAATAATAGTTAAAGACACTTGCCTAGAGAGGAGAAAATCTCCATAGGTGTTGATATTCCACTCCATACTGAGGGACTAGAACTGATTCCTTTTGTCTGTGCTACCCCTGACATGTGCTAACGATTTCTTAAATTCCAAGATGTATATTCATTTCTATTAAAGTCCTCACGTGCACATTGTATCTATAATGATGTAAATATTCTCACTATCTGGCTGGCAGTGAACAACAATGAAGAGAAAAGACAGCTGTGTTTTATTTTGGAATTTGAGACATTTGGAAGGACAAAGACATGACTGGAAGAGGCAAATGAGACAGGAGATGGAGAGGTGTAGGGCTGTAGGCTGAGCAACAGAAAAGACTTGAAATGAATTGATTATTACAGAGAAAAATATCCATGACATTTCAAAAAGGCACAATATAGAGAAAAACTGGGATGCAAAATGGTAAAAATGCCAAGGAGACAACCACTCCATAAAGAACATAAAGAACATTAAAGGATACACAGTGTACCTACTGTGAGCCAGACTCCATGGAGGCTCAAAGCATCAATAGGTGGAATCAATGATGGGTGTAGAGAAAGCGGCTCTAACCCTGTACACACAAAAAGATTGTAGAAGAGAATAAAATTAAAAGAGTGGTGCAGGTCTGTGGTGATACAGGAGGACAAAGAAGGAAGAGGTGAAGAAAAGAAAAAGGTTATGCTCAGATGCATTTGTCTGCAGACACTGCTCACCCCATTCTGCTTGTGTGATGTGACTATACAAGGCCAAAACGCCAGCGGTGATGCCTCTATCCACCATCTGCAGAGAAGATTTTCATTTCTTTACCTGATCTTCTCCACTCACTGCTTACTATCAAGTCTTTTTTTGTTTCTAACCTAAGCATCATAGATTTTTAAGAAAACTCTGAAAAGTTTAAAGAAAATATCACAGATTTTTCACATTCTTCTACTCTAACCAGATCAATCATAAGACAGAAATTTCTGATAATTCTATTTGAAATTGCATCAATAATTGGCATAATTTTAAATGTAAACTCCTTTTCATCTTAATCATCTGATTATGTAAACCATGGAGTACTACTCAGCTTTAAGAAACAATGGTGATATAGCACCTCTTGTATATTCCTGGATAGAGCTGGAACCCATTCTACCAAGTGAAGCATCCCAAGAATGGAAAAACAAGCACCACATGTACTCACCAGTAAATTGGTATTAACGGATCAACACCTAAGTGGACATATAGGAATAACATTTATGGGGTGTCAGGGAGGGGGGAGGAGGGGATGGGTATATACAACCACAACGAGTAGATGTGCAACATTTGGGGGATGGACATGCTTGAAGCTCTGACTCGAGGGGGAAGGGGGGAATGGGCAATATACGTAACCTTAACACTTGTACCCCCATAATACGCTAAAATAAAATAAATTAAATAAATAAATAAATAAATAAATAAATAAATAAATAAAAGCCTCAATGTTTCCTCCTTTGTTACCTGAACGGTCGTGGTTTAGACAGAATCTGTTGCAATTCTCATTGTGTCCACAAGATGGCGGGCGGGGACTTAGACTGAGCTTCAGGGTTCTCGTGAAGCGTTTTCGCAGCTATTTTTTTCTGATTCAGATCTCCTATTATTGAATCTATCAAAAAATCTTTTTGGAATGCATATGATGTTCCAAGGATTATACTTGGCTTTGTTGGGCAATACCAGACATTTTTTTTTAAAAGTGCCGTAATATACCATACAGTTTAGAAAAAAACTGGGACTTTTTTTGGGTTACTGGAGAAAAGGCAAAAACTTTTGTGTAGTATGTTAATATGATTTCACTGTGTACAGGAAGTGCAGCTAGAATGTATGGAAGAAAAGTAACACATAAAGCAGTAGTCAATATATTAGAAATATTGAGCTATTCTGATGATCTTTAAAAATCCTACCAGCATTAGCACAAAAATCTGAAGATTGACTCAAGAATCCTAACCTTTTTGTTTCCAAAAATATTTCCTTTGGAATTTAATTTGTTTACAATAATAAAACTTTAAAATGCATTTTTCAAAACCCAGGAAGAATTTTGCTAATCTAGTACAGTTTGAATTATTAATGCTAATAAATCTTTGCTATATTGCAAAAGTCAATAAATAAGAGCTATATTATTAAATAAAGGCAATTTGAAAAGCCAAGAAATGTCAGGGAAAATGTTCGCTTTCCAGAATTTTAAAATTTAAATCTGATAATTTTCCTTTCTACCATACTTACATTAGGCAATCTAAATTTAAACAGAATTGAAATCATTGAAAAATGATTTAGTTTATTTTTTCATATTTCTGTTTATTTTCTTAGCACTCATACTACTTAACATCATAAATTAATAAAATTAAAATCATAAAAGGTAAATTTTAAAAATAATATCTGAGATTATAGAAGGCTAAAATAACATGATGACAAAAACCAAGATGATATTATAGAGTCTATCCTGGAATGGAAAAAACATTAGTGAAACAATAGGTAAAATCTGAATGAAGTTTATAGTTTAATAGTGTAGTACTAGTGTTAATGTTTTTTATTTTGAGAAATGAACCATAGTTAGGGTACATGTTCATATTAAGGAGAGGGATGCTAAGTGAAGGTTATATAGGAACTTCCTATATTTATAATTTTTTCCATAAATCTAAAATTATACCAAATTAAAAAGCTAAAATAATATTAGTACCCAATCTGGTCCACAAGTGTTATTGGGCACCTCCCATACAGCATGTAATGTTCTAAACGCTGAAAACACAAACCCTACCTGAGCTAGTCACAGTAAAGTAGAAAAAATTGTATTATATTATGATTGTAAAAAATTGTGATTGTTATATCACAAAATATGCCTTTACCCAAATTTTCAAAAATGTACCAGCCATCCTTGTTTATCTTTGGAAGAAACAAAAAATCATGACAAAGAAATAAACATGGGTGAAAGAGAAGTGGTATAAGAAGCATAGAAAGGAAGTCACACAGAGCAACAGAAGGACTAACAGCAGAAGCAAAGAATGCTGTGTGGACAAAGCAAACAACATAGGGTGGCAGAGGAAATTCTCTCCACAATCGTTTACTTTGGCAATGCTCCTGATTTAAAATATGCAATTTTTAAATAGCTGTAAAACAAACATGGTGGTATGGCACAATTCTCATGGATAATTTCATACTGTCTTTGTTTTACATCCTGCTGTTTAGCTCATGTGAATGGGGCACACTTTACCCTATCCTCCTTATAATATGTTTTATAGATAGTGGCAGGGGGAGAGATTAGAGAGAGAAGAAAAAAGCACAGGAACAAAAAAAAAACCTATGGAAAAGGATAAGAAAATAGAAAAAAAAATGCGAGGAAGGGAAAGGGAAAAAGGAAAAACATCCTCAATCCATCTTCTGACCTTTAATCTTCAAATAATCCTACCTCTTGTGTCTCATAATTTTAAAGAAATCTTTTTGAAGACTTTTATTTGGGAAGAGGGGCCAGAGACTGAAATCTTTATATGGAGAATGAGGTGTTCTTGTTAAAAGAAAGCATTTCTAATATGCCTTCCTCTTCTTTAGTTTCATTGTGTATTGATGGAGATTCTGATTTAGAATTACCCATATCAATTTTGATATCATATTAAATATTTCCTTTACCCTTTGTTTGAAAAGTCATATAACTAAAATAAAATTTGTTCTTTCAATATGAAAAAAAAAAAGGAAAGGCATTTTGCCTCATCCAGAACTTCAGTTTTCAAATAAACAACCTAAGATTCTGGTATAAGCTGAGCCAACCCCACTAGGATCCAGCTGTCACCAATAGATGGCCCAGATAACTGACTCTACACAGACAGGATGTAATAGGTCTCTGAGAAGGTGGGCTAGAAAGTTACATTTTTCACCTTGTGGGCTAGAAAGTTACATTTTTCACCTTTCTTTTGCTAGTCATGAACAATTTGTCCTCCACTTGTCACTTTTCCAAAATTGAGCAAAATAAATAGATTATTTTCTTGAACATAACACGGTCTATCTATAATGAAGTATATTTCAGTACCAGGGGACACCATATATAATACAGATGAAATTTATGATTTTTAAAATTGAGTTGATGGGCCATCTAGAATTTCATAATAAATAGCACAAGTGTTTTACTAGAAATCATTTCTCATTCAATAACTCAAAGTCCATGAAGTGAAAAACGTTCAGAGAAAGGAAACCAAAATGATCAGAGGAGAGAGCATGCTAAAAGTTTTGTAACATGTGGGTTTTTTAAAGGTGAGCCTGACAAAGGAACAGGAAAGTAAACAAAACAGTCAATAATGTAGATTAAGAGACTCATTCATCAAAGTCTGTAATGGTAAAATGCCATTTGAAACGTGAGTGAGTGGAGTTAGGACATATGAAAGTATGGGTTCTTCTGACTGGTTAAACTATGGGACAAGGAGGTGACAATAATCAGAAATTTGTAGCAATTAATTCAACACTGGCTTGAGGAAAAGAATTTTGACTAAAATATCGTAAGTGATCGCTGTGCAGTTGTGTGCCCAGCATCCCTCTGCAACCTGGGTGGTTGTCGCAAGAGCTGCCAGGCTACAACATGACCTGCTCACTGGCCAGTGGATTTCCTTCCTTTTGAAAATAGGGACCAGAGTCAAGAGAATTGAGACAATCTCTGTTTGTGTGCCTACATCGTGATCTATAATACAAAGCCTGGGAGTTGTGGCCATGTCCTGCCATGTAGGAGAAAGAGCAAAAGAGCTGCTCTAGAGTAAGAGGAAAATATAAACCTAACAGAGTAAAGAGTAGAAAGCCAAAGGAAGCAAGAGCCTTAATGGGGGTGCAGATCCTGAATCCCTGCAAGGGCTTTCCTGAGGCCCAGGAACCTTCCTGTTCTTTGGTTCCATGATATACCTAGTATCCTTATAAGGAAATTTCTTGCTGAAATTGATTAGAGTTGGTTTCTGTTCCTTTTACCCAAAATAATACCAACTAAAACAAAAGCTATAAATCCTCTCTCTCTCTCTCATCTTTTTCTTTATCCCCTGAAGCAGACTGAATGTTTATGTCTCCATAAAATTCATAAGTTGAAACCTAACCCCCAATATAACGTTATTAGGAGGTGAGGCCCTTATAAATGGGATTAGTGCCCTTATAAAAGAAACTTCCTCACTCCTTCCTTCATGTGAGGGTACAATGAGAGGAAAGCCATCTATAAACTGGAGAGCAGCTCTCACCAAACACTGAATCTACTGGCACCCTGATCTTGGACTTCCCAGCCTGCAGAACAGTAAACAATAAATTTCTGTTGTTTAAAAGCCACCCGGTCTATGGTGTTTTTGTTATAGCAGCCTGGATAGACCAAGACATCTCCTCCCTTATGTCTCTAATCTCTCTCCATGTAACCAATAGGTATAGCAGACAGAAAACAACTAAAATAATAACATCCCTGATTAGCAAAAATAGAATGCTAACCACAGCTACAGCTATTTGGGTTTCAGGTGTGTGCAGTGAGATAGTGTCACCTGATATTGCAAACAAAAAATAACAAAGAACAATTATTATTAGTGATGAGTCTGAGTCAAAAGCAGCACTCAG